ACCAAGAATTAACCCCGTGACCCTTTGGTCCGTGGACTGATGCTCCACCACTGAGCCATACCAGCCAGGCACCTGATTTTTTAAAGAAGTCACTTGGAGCGAAAAGGGTAATTACTATTATTATTTTTTGTAAGTCAATCAAAATTACACCTTTTTTCCCTGTCGGATCAGCAAAACACAGCATCACTCTTGGTGCGCTGCGGAGCGTCAGTGACCAGCTTACGGCGTGAGGGGCGGAGGAGGCACCTCGAGGCGCTTCCAGCCGACGCTGTGCCGTCTGTGAAGGAGAGCCCGCGGCGCAGTCCCTCCCGAGGGCAGCCCAGGACGCCCCCCCGAACCCGCACCGCCCCCCCTCCTGCCCGACACCGCGGAGGGCCACACACCTTCTGCCTCCGTCGCATCGGCACGCTCCAACTTGGCTTCTCTGTGCTGTCCTTCGGCGACCTTCACGGCCACCGCTCGGCAGATGGCCCCCAGCTTCCTGTCCAGGGAGCGCACGCCCGCCTCCCGGGTGTACCTGCCATCGGAGAACAGGTTTAGCTCTGGCTGCAGCGCCCCCACCAGGCGGACAGAGTAAGTGATCGGCAGTTACACCGCAGGCGTCCGCAGTGCACATTCTAACGCTCACTGCATTTCCTTGAGAACGGAGTCCCTCACATTTAAATTTCTTATAAAAGTCCCGTCATTTCTGAAATGGTCAGGTGTACTTGCAGCCACACCTTTCCCCGTACACAGATTCTCCTGACACCCTGCCCTAGACTACAAATGAATCGTTGGTTCTTCAACGTTACGTCGGCAGCACGTAAAACGGCATTTTCTCTTTGAGAGGATGTGTAAGTGCTTTCTTAAACAAAATCGGTCACCTTAAGAGAATTCTAGATACATTTATTACACTTCGAATATTGCTGAGAAAAATCCCAAAAACCCAGACCTTTCACCTGCACTAAAGCAGAAACAATCCAAGCACAAAGACCTCGCGGCTGCCCAGGACGGTGCCGAGCCCGGAGGAGGCCGCTGAGGCCGCGAGCACCGTGACGGTGCAAGCCACCCTCCCGGGGGCCCTCCAGGGCCTCAGCAGAGCCTCTCAGGCAACCTCCACGTTCAGCTTCCATTCCAGGAGCCGCTGCACAAACCACTGCACGGTCCAGCCACTCTGCCCCGGCTTCGGGAGCGAGTGGGCAGCATGAGGCCTGCAGTGCAGTTTTCTGGGAGAAGCTGGATTTGCGTGGCAGTCAGACTATTCCAGACGCAGGGAAGCAGGCTTTTAGCCCCGAGAGAAGACCAAAAACCAGTTTGCTGCAGTGGCTGCGGGACCAGCAGTGACATCTACGCTCACTGCGAACCCACCCAATGCGCACAGAACGGCATCGGTGGGACCAGCAGAGACTCTGATGAGAATGACCTCGTTCTCCAGGCGACACCTGGGAAAGACAGTGGTGACTTCCCGTCAGCCACGATTCCGGTCCAGAGCCACGGCGACTCTGCTCTCCCTCGGACGTCACGCCGGCCTCACTGCTGGATCTGAACTTAAACTGACTTCCCAGGAGGCCGGGGAGGCCACCACACCGCCGACTGGCTAATTCCAGGTCAACACCCAGAATAGGGAGCCGCTTCCCCCGAACCACCGTGGTTCCCAGGAGGGGTTCCTGGGGTGGGGGGTGGGGGGAGGAACTGCCTGTAGATGTGCAGATGCCACACAGCGGGCGGTGATGCAACAGTCCGCAAGGCAGACCCGGGAGAATGGAGGCCACTGCAGACAACATTCCCAACAGGCCGCGCTTTCCACTCGGCATGCAGCCCGGAAACCAGACCACGCAGTCGCCCGAGGCAGCTCCTGTGCTGCCTGCCGAGGCCTCAGCCCTGGGAGCGAAGGTGGGAAGGCCCCTCCCTTCTCTCCTGCTCCATGTCAATTCCTGAAGATGAAAACTAAGGACTAAAACCTCTCAAAAAGAGGAGGAAATGGGAATAACTCAAAAGAGGAGTCTGAAAGCAGCGGCTCCCACAGGAAGAGACTGAACTCTCAGATCCGGGCTGTAAGCTGCGTCTCAGTATCTGCACGAGTTGGGTTCTAACCCATCAGAGGAATCCCTTACGCTGTTCCGGGGAGAAGCGGTCATTCTGGCTCGAGCGGAGTCCTGTGCTATGAAGATGCTCTCACTGCTGCCCCGATGGACTCCTGCCTATACCGAGCCTGTGCAAACCATGATCATGGAAATGCTCGCTGGCGACCCGCTGGTGGGAACGGATGCAATCGGTTGCTTCGTCGGACTCCGGTGTTAAAGGAGCCGCGGACCGTGGACTCACCTGGTGATGATGCCCAGGGTGGTGGCCGGGGGGATCTGCAGCTGCTGCGGGGTCAGCCCGTGCTGGTCCAGCTGCTTGGGGATCAGGTGCCGGTGGGCGATCTCTATCTTCTCCTCCTGCGTGTACCCTGAAGGAGGGGCCCCGCTGTCAGTCATGTCCTGGGCTTCCCAGGGCCACGCTTTTTTAGAATGGATGGGAGTGTGACCTCCACTCAGATCCTCTGATCAGAGTAAGGACGTTCATTCTCCGATCAACCACTGTTAAGACCTCCAACTTCTCCCCAAACAAAACAAGCATCTGCCAAGCACAGCGTTTGAAATCTTCTGAATAAATCTGTCTCTTAAAGAGGAAAAAATCTCTCCGTGAGAGCTCAGAGGCAATTACCTCCTCAGCTCAGAGCTGGGTTTCTATTTTATTATTTAGTAGGAAAGGCATCCCTTTTCTTTACTATAATTTGAATCATAACTGAAAAGACTTAACGCACAATAAGACTGAACTGAATAAGCAGCGGGTTCTAGGGGAGGAGCCGCACATAAATTTTAGCAACAAAACCGCCCCAAACCAAGCTGCCCCTCTGGTTGGAGCTGTATGTGTAACCGACACATTTAAAGGATGTACGCTCTCACTTATTTAAACGCCTCAATGAGTATAGATTTACTTTGTCTTTAAACCTGTAAGAAAAATTCCCACTAAACTAACTGCCCCCTTTCCATGGAACAAGCAAACATTAAAAAGATGAGCTGAGGAGACAGCTGTTGAGCAGGAAGAGGAAATAAGGGCCGGCAGGAGGGAGGCGCTAGCACACGGCCGCCCCCACCCTCGCGGCTCACGGACCGGCCGCCTCAGGTGGAGTTCCAGGCAGTTAGTACGTGACTTACTTATTTTAGTCTCAAATATGCACAAAGCGATATTTCACTCCATCTGACTTTAAAACTGTATCCTCTTTTAAGTATAGGAACGGGCAGGACTCACAGAAAACTAGGAAATCCAATGATCATCCACTTGATAGTAGAATTATATTTCAGGTTGATATGAAATACACACTTAGATTATATGAGAATCTAGACATATTTAGACTTAGATATATTTAGATTCCACTCTATTTCCATTTTAACAAATGCCCACTGACATTACATGTCTCCCAGGGAGAAATGATTCTGAGCAGTTAAAACGGTGAAAACACTGAGATTTATTTACTGTTAGTAACTAAAGGAGTTTTTGCAAAAAAACCCCCAAAGCCTAGTGACGGCTGCAGTGACAAGGCGCGGGCAGACCACCCCCGTGTGGCACACAGCGCGGCCGGAGTGGCCGGAGTGCGGCTCACGCCTCGCTGCCGCCGCTCCTGTTCAGCGGGAGCAAGCGCTCACTTTCCCCGAGAAGGAAACGTCAAGCTCTGACGGACAGGAGGCTAAACTGACCATGTGAAGGCCTGCTCTTGACTTACTTTGAAAAAAGTTGTTTTTTTCTCTAATTTTAGAAATTGCTTCAAAAGAAGGTGTCTTTTTATTAAAAAATGGATCATTCTTTCATGCCAAGTTCCATCTGAAATTGCTCTGCAAAATTTATCGCTGAGACGCCTTATCTGTCAGGGTGAAAGCAAACAAGTGCACGTCTGCCTTCCCGACTCTGAGTCTAAACAGGAGCAGGTTCACTCGGAGACTCGGACCTGGGAAGGTCACGCGTGGGCAAACCACCTTTTTACTCGAATCCCCACAGCTCCACAGGTCAAAGGGCTGCGTTCAGAGAGGCAAGACAGAAACATCCCATCAGGCACCTCCCTGTGCCCCGCGTACCTGGCACCTGGATGATCTCCATCCTGTCCAGCAGGGCCGCCGGGATGGTGGCCGTGGTGTTGGCGGTCGCGATGAAGAGGACTTGGGAGAGGTCGAAGGCCACGTTGAGATAGTGGTCGGTGAAGTTATGGTTCTGCTCCGGATCCAGCACCTGCGGGGAGGGCGACACGGAACCGTCGAGGTGGCTCCAGGGAACGAACACGGCAGCGGCAGCGAGGCGCTGGCTTTGCTCGGCGTGGCTGGTTGGGGAGGCCCGGGGGTAGCACGGAGCCCTGCGCCCTCCCTCGCACGCCCACACTCTGAAGAAACATGCCCAGTGTCACACTTTGGAAGACACAAAAGCTCACAGCAGCACCAATGACCCTTTCAGCCTTATCCCTCCACCGATGTCAGCGACGCGCGGGCGGCCAGCGCCCTCGGGGGGCGCCCCTCCCGCCGCCTCGGGAGCAGAAAGGGAGCGTGCGCAGCGTTCTGAATTCGTAGGGACATGGCGATGCGCACGTTCCTCCTCAGGCGCTACCAGAAAGTCTGGGACGAGTTTCCGGTGAAAGGGGGACGCGGGACCAGAGGAGCTGGTGAGGACGCGCCTGCCGCCAGCCTCGGACCCGGCACAGGACAGACGCACTTAACGTGCAGGTTGTCAGCGTCAATGGGGATGTGTTAACCAGGCACGTCAGACAGCTCGGCAGTTGGATTCCTAGGACGCTGAGCCCTGGTCGTGTTCACGCTCCGAGGCCCCGGGACTCTGCGCAGCGGCCTGCACGGGACTCGAAAGAAGGTTCCGAGCGGCCCTCGTGCTCCGGCCGCCCACGCGTGGCCACTTGCACTGCAGCAGCAGAGATAAACCGGGCTGCACACGGGTTCAAACGGGAGTGAAACAGCCGGGCCCTGTGAGGACGGACGAGCCGCAGAGCCACAGCGCAGAAGAGGACTGGGCCCCGGCGGGAGGCGGGCTGCCTTTCTAATAACCTTGCAGAATTAGCGGTCTCTAAGCAAAAGGCAGGCACAAGGCTCTGATGAACTCTTTGATGCAAATAAACTAGGAAAAAATGAGAATTCCTGGAAAAAGGAAGCTCTCTCAGACACTTTAATTTACATCTCGAATTGCTTCCGACTTCAGTCTGCACGGACCTGGTTCCGAGCCTAACCCCCGCCACGCACACGCACACACGCACACAAGCGGGGAGTCCCCTCGGCCTTGCTGGGACGCGGGACGCAGACAGCGATTCGCCTGTCTCACCTCGAGCAGAGCTGCGGCGGGGTCGCCCTGCAGACTCTTGCCCAGCTTGTCCACCTCGTCCAACAGGAACACCGGGTTGTTCACCCCGACCGTCTTCAGGCCGTTGATGATGCGGCCGGGCATGCTGCCCACGTAGGTGCGCCTGTGGGAAGCAAGCGAATGGGTCCCGGGTGGCCGGAGGCAGGAGCAGGGCCACCGGAGCCCAGGGACCAGCACGGGAGGCAGCCAAGCCCTGAGAGGCCCACAGCATCCGAGTCACCGGGTCCCTTCTTCTCCAAGTCTGGTTCGAGCATCCATGGGACTGGAGCCACGTACCTCATGCTGGCCACTTAGTGACACTGAAAACATTACACTTAAGTCGCACAGTGACGATTCTTACTCCTCCCGATTCCAAGACGCCCCAACCCTCTGACTTTAGTCCCCAGGCCGCACCCTCTGGCACCCCACCCCAGCCCACCCCACTCCCAGCACGACATCTGCACAGGGAGATGCTGGTACAGCCTCCTCGTCTTCATGAGGAAGTCAGAATCAGCGGGAAGAGCCACTCAAAATGCAGACCCCCGGGCCCCCCAAAAGGAAAACTCCAAACTCGTTCATTTCAGAGGCAGTCAGCTGTCACTACTGGTGGTCAGAGGCCTGGGGTCAAGAGCATCCACATGGAAACCCACCCTCCTGGGCACTGACTGGACTGTCCACCCTGCACGCTCCCTCGCACAGCCCAGCCCAGCGCTGCCTTGGGAGGTGCTACAACATCACAGGCAGCTCTGCCGTCAGAATGAGGGTCGCCTGTGTGACCGTTTTCGGGAAAGCCAGCGAACGCCACTGCGCAGCGACGCACCCCGTCTCATCGCGGCCTCACGTCTAGTCGGGTCACTACCGCTCGCCCAGTCTACGATCTAAATGGAGACTGAGCCTTGCTTTTTCCTCCCCATCTCCCACCTCGCTATCGCTGAACTCTTCGGTTATTTACAGTCAATTTCTAACATTAGCAGCTCCCTTCACACCCCCAGGCTGTGGCGCAGGCTGGAGCGCAGGCCTGGGGAGCAAGGAGGGGCCCGGCAGGCGGAGGGAGAGCACAGAGCCGCTCTGTGTCCTCGGCTATTTTAAACTGCAGAACAGGGGCCTAGTCAGCGGCAGGGAAAACAGACCCGCGAGCCCCGCCTGGGAGCACGTGACCAGCACTGGAATGCCAAGCCCAGGGCGTCTCCCAAAGGTCCAGCTGTCCCGTGGGGGGCTCCTCCCACCCACGCCACCCAGGTCGCGCTGATCCTGTCTCTCCTCTGTGGCGCCCCCGCCCGCCCCCCCCAGCACTCTGACCCAGGCGGGACTGGGCTCCCGGCCTCTCCTCTCTCCAGCAACCCACCCGCCCTCTATCTGCTCCCCATAGGTTTTCAAGTGACCTCCTCTCCAGGCTGCGATGACCCCGGGGCCGTGGGCAGTGAGTCCTCGGGGGCACAGGGGCCGGTGGCCCTGGTGGTGAATGGACCATACGCCTGGTTGGTGATGGCGAGGGAGGGCGTGCCCGTGAGGGGCCCGCGAATCCGGCTCAGTGCTCACAGACCGAGTCCGACAACGCTACGCCTCTTCCCCGCAGGGATCACCGCCTCTATCCAGGCCGCATCCGAGAGCTCAGTTCCCATGTTTCAGGCAAAAACACAACCTTCATTTACAAAACAAGTTCTTCTTCCTTCAGGTTCCGTGTTCTTATGACCGTCGCACAGGAAGCGTCTTCATGTGGCACAGCGCACAGCCCACCATGGCATCCTGAAAACACCCTTCCCCACAGGTCTGCCCACGAGTAACCACGCGAGAACAGGATTATGGGGCACGGTTTACAAACCAGATTGGGTTTTATAAGAAGCACACGGACACGTGCAGACCTAAGCTGGCCCCCGAGCCATCAGAGGTGAAACAGGAACAAAGGCTGTTGGACGGGCTCCGAGGGGCGCTTTCCAAGCCTCACTGAGCCGGCAATTCCAGCCGGCGTGTCACCTCCCCGTGACTTTAATGTCATGTGACAACCCCACAGTCACTCTCCAACTCCCATCCAAGGCCGACGCACATGGGGCCATGGATGACAGGGAGGAAACACACAGAACCCCGGGCGAGCGCGAACCCTGGCAGGTGGGGAGAGCCTCCGTCGCTCCCTCGCTCCTGGCCTGGGCCCAGGAGCCAGCTTCTTACCGAGCCAACGGCAGCCTCTAGTGGCGCGGCGAGGACAGCACAGTCCAGGGGACAAGCGTGTCCTTGACACGGCTTCCCTGCCCCACTGCATCTACTCAAGTCTTGGAGTGACTGACTCTCCTTTCACGCAGAAGAGTTGCAAACAAGCAAGAAAAAGAATAAAAGGACCACTTTCATGCAAGTTCCTGAAGTTTCCTGGCCCAGCCGAAGGCCAGTGACCTTGGAAACAGGCAAATGGAAAAGGAGATGATGTAAAAGCAGCATATTCCCTCCCCCACAACCCAAGTCCCACCCACACTCAGGCCGTCGCTGTGACTCGAAGCCGCCAGGGAAAATGGCATCCTTAACCACCCGCCCGGGGCTGGTCTGAGGACAGAAGCTTCCCCTCCGCTCCATGCCTTTGCCGGACGCTGGGCAGCTGCAGTTTAGCTGCAGAGTCAGGCTCCTGCGCAGGCCCCACCGCAGCCTGAACACGTCGCACGCGCACTGACGGCAGCCAGCCTGCAGCCGGGACGGCATGGACCCCACACAAACGCCTCCCAGTCTGAGCGACAGAGAACACACACCGAACGTGACCGTGACCACAGCACCAAGTCTGACCCCACGGTCACATCGACCAGACTCGGGTCTTAGAGTTCCAGGCCCTTTTATAGAAAAAGTGTCAAAAACGCAAGGATAAGCCTCACCGTGACCCTCACCTTCCTCCTTATACCGCTTACCCTGCCGTAAGCCAGCCTTCTCTTTTTAAAATGCATCTTTACTGTTGAACGTCTGTAGATGTCCCCTCTCTGCCCCCACTGAGCCCCCGTAGACCAGCCTCCTTAAAAGCAATTTAAGCTGCCAACCTGACACACGGGTCTCTCAGGCCCCTCCCACCGGGCCAAGCTGGACTCCAGGGTGTGGTCCTTATCTACGAAACACCACTGGGCCAAAGCGACACCACGGCATCAGGCTGCCCAGTCACCCCTGGTCACCACTAGTCATGCCACGGAGACCCCAGGGCGGAGGGTGCCCACTCCAGCGAGGCTCCACGTCCTCCCCCTCATCCCAAACAGCCCTTTCAGAGAGAGAGGGGCCCTGCACTGTGCTTGCGGGGGGGGGGGGGTCTCGCCAACCAAGAGGAGGGAGAGGAACAGGCGGGCGAGGGGAGCACCCACCTGTGTCCCCGGAGCACCCCTGGTCATGCCACGGAGACCCCAGGGCGGAGGGTGCCCACTCCAGCGAGGCTCCACGTCCTCCCCCTCATCCCAAACAGCCCTTTCAGAGAGAGAGGGGCCCTGCACTGTGCTTGCGGGGGGGGGGGGGTCTCGCCAACCAAGAGGAGGGAGAGGAACAGGCGGGCGAGGGGAGCACCCACCTGTGTCCCCGGATGTCGGACTGGTCGCACACTCCTCCGAGCGCGATCCGGTGGAACTCGCGGCCCAGCGTCTTGGCCACAGACCTCCCCACACTCGTCTTGCCGACCCCGGGGGGGCCCACGAAGCACAGGATGGGGCCCTTGAGGTTGTTCTTGAGCTGCCGCACGGCCAGGTACTCCAGCACCCGCTTCTTCAGCTTCTCCATGGCGTAGTGGTCGTTGTCCAGGAGGACGCGGGCCGCGCGGATGTCCAGCCGGTCTGTCGGGTCACCCCCAGAGAGCGTCTGGGCACCTGGGACTCGTCAGTGGGAACCCCTCCCCAGGCCGGCGGGAGCCCGAATAGCTTAGAAGTGACCAGAGCACGCCTGCCTCCTCCTACGAGTCTCTGGGGAGCCCGGGACTGGGCTTTCTTTTGCTTAAGAAGATTCAGTTTCTACAGGAGCAGTGGGCCCTGCAGCGGTGGGAGCTGAGGGCAGCCCCCCCGACCGAGATCTCACCCACCACGGAACCCCCTTCTCTCAATCAGGCCCAGGGACTCTCAGGGAGCCCGAGACCGCGGTGACACGGGCTCAGTCTGCGGCTGACCTACATCGGCGTGAAGGTGAGAGCAGGATGCTCAGCGGGGCGCTGCGGAGGGTGCGTGACCGCGCCGCAGGCACACGGCGGGCTGGGCGGGGGGCTCACCGGTTGTGCTCTTGTTCCACGGCAGCTCCACCATGAGCTCTAAGTAGTTTCTGGTCAGAGCATATTCCGGCATCGACTGAGGCATTTTTTTGAGTCTGTGGAGAAAGAATACATAGCAAACATGTTCAAGAATAAAGAATTCCATTAAAACAGAAAAACCAAGCTGACCTCCATGGCTTGGTCAGACATATCATCTATACAGGGTGTCCCAAAAGATGTACACACACACTTTGAATAATTACAAAGGCAGTGTTTATTAAAATACATTTCAGTTTTTGCCCTAGCTGGTCTGGCTCAGTGGATAGAGCGTCAGCCTGCGGACTGAAGGGTCCCAGGTTCAATTCCAGTCAAGGGCACATGCCTGGGTTGCGGGCTTGATCCCCAGAAGGGGACCTGCAGGAGGCAGCCAATCAATGATTCTCTCTCATCATGGATGTTTCTATCTCTCTTTCCCTCTCCCTTCCTCTCTGACATCAATAAAGATATATCTTTTTAAAAAAATACATTTCAGTTTCAAAACTAAGCTATCAGCTGTTACAGTGTATATACATTTTGGGGGGAACACCCTGTATTTGTTAAATAAATCTGAAAAAGTCTTTTTTAAATCTGGCTAACGACACATTTCTTTTGCTCTGAAGGAACGTTACAAAACAAAATTAAAGCAACACCTGCACGCTGGGGGGAGGGGTGGGGACCCCACATCTGACTCTGCCCTGGAAACGCGGCCTGGTCAGCGTAAGGACCCCCCAGAGACTCAGGTGCCACCACGAGGTTCCTCATCAGGGTGAGATCTAAGCGCCTCACCGTGTGTTACACGGTAATTATGTATTTTCTTTTATTTTTTTTACTAGAGGTCCAGTGCACAGGATTCGTGGGGGTGGGCGTAGCCTGCGGGGATCGGCCCTCTGTGGGAGCTCACTGACCACCAGGAGCAGCTCCTGCATTGAGTGTCTGCCCCCTGGTGGTCAGTGCACATCACAGGACTGGTCGACCGTTCGTTCTGGTCATTCTACCGTTCGGCCACTGGGCTTTTATTATAGAGGATTATCATTTTTTAAAATATATTTTTTATTGATTTCAGAGAGGAAGGGAGAGGGAGAGAGAGAAACATCAATGATGAGAGAGAATCATGGATCAGCTGCCTCCTGCACGCCCCACACTGGGGATGGAGCCCACAACCTGGGCATGTGCCCTTGACCAGAATTGAACCTGGGACCCTTCAGTCCGCAGGCCAACGCTCTATCCACTAAGCCACACCAGCCAGGGCTAATTATGTATTTTTATTTTACATTAGAGTTGAAGTCAGCTCAGAATCGAAGCCAACACCAGATACTTAATAAAAAACACGGCTCCCATAACATACGCAGCGCGCGTTCCATCCACGTGGGTGGCCCACAACTATTGGCAGGTGCCAGAGCCCCAGGAGACGCCCCTCAGCGCATCTACTAACGTTTTTCCCTGTGAACCTCGGAAAGGCAGGTCTTCCCGCGGCTCATTACGACTCACTAACACGGTAAAGCAGTTCTAACGTTACAGGAACGCAAACCAACAGGTAATCTCGTTCTACTGACGAGATGACCCAGCAAAGGCGCTCAGCCCGCACACCGCCGGGCCTCCCTGCACCCCCTGCACGGGGAGGGTGGCAGGCCCTGCCTCGCGTGTGACCGACAGAAACAGTGACGTGTGACGCGCACAACGGGAAGCGGACAAACAGTCTGAACAAAGGCTGGTCCGCTCCTGACGACAGGGCACAGGCAGGTGCCGCGGGGAGCACGCCGGAGTGTGTACTGCGGGGAGGGGCTGTGTCGCTCACGCAGCATTCACGGAGCCGGGGACCTCGGGGCACCGAGGCTCTCGGGGTCAGGGTCCGGATGGGGTGGAGAGGGACCCTGAGAGCTGGGGTGCCAGGAAAGCTGGAGCTGGCAGTGCTGACCTGGGGGGGGGGCAGTGGTCTGGGGCCCCGTGAAGGGAAGAGGAGGACAGCGCACACGCAGCGAGCGGCTCGGCGTCCAGCTGGGGAGGCTGCACAGGCCTCCCTTGT